CACCATCAATGCTTGGTGGTCAGTAACTCCACCCAGCTGACACATTCAACCGTTTGAAACTCCAGAGCCTGTTGTTGGTATGATGTCTTAGCTCAGATTTGCTGATAAGACTGAAGGCTATAAGGGTGTGATCATTTTTCCCTAGGATAGCCAGGATTGCGAGGTTTTCAGTTAGGAATCTTTCTTTTGTAAATAGCCAGCCTAAGCGTGACAGAATCTTACCTTTTCTGCAATGAGTTGCCGACTTCAAATTTTTGAATAATCTCAGATCCTCAGTGAGGTTGGAGGTCCGAGCTTCAGTAGAGTTTTCACCTCCACTTTACGTATGTTCCGTGATATTGACTTTAGGAGGATTGAAGTCCTCTAGAATCACGATATGAGTGAGTTGAACAGGATAATCTTTCTAGCATACGATTGTCCTACTCGATGTCAGCAGTATGCTTCCTGTAAATAACTGCAACTGGACACCTCGATGTGGTAGACGATCTTACTTAAAACCTTATAGGTTCACCAGGATTGATAAACTCTTGGTTGTGAACTTGATGTACCCCAGGCAAGATCGTAAGTACAAGGCTACTCCGCACCCTATTCCTGTCTTTCTGTCATTGCGAAACAAAGACATCTCAGGTATTGCTAGCTCCTGGTCCGTATACTGAGATGATATTTATGTTTTAAATGAGTATTATTAGCATTAATGAGTTAACTCAGCTCATCCATTTAATTCGGTAAACTCGCGGAGTTTATGTGTCAGAAGTTTATGCTTTCAGTTTGAAACGCGTGAGCTTCCCCGTCCTGTTTTTCTGTATGAGCCTCAAGCGAATGGACAGGTACCCTACCTATACAAAGTTTTCCGAGTTGATAGTCCATGTCTGTTATACATTTTTTTATTATCGAGACAGTTCACAAATGATATATTCAGCCCTAACTTGCTTTTGTCCTTGATCTTTTCACCATATGGCCTATCCGGATGCATATGGATCCCAGTTGGCAACCGACGTCTGTTGTCACGAAATGCTTTTAGAGTTGAAGCCGCCGCATGGGAGAGTCGGAAGTTTATTTTCATCAGCCGGGGTCTAGAATCTCCGTCCTTCTTGGCTGTTCTCATCACTTGAGTCAGTATGTTTTCGAGCTTCAAGGACTGCCTGATGAATTTCCGCTCCCCTATATTAGAGTTTGTATGGTCAGGGTCCGTGTTTTCTGTTTCACCTTGCACAATGATATTTCTTCCGTGGAAAATCTCGCGTGATCCCTTACGGATGTTCCGGATGAGATTGCGCTCAGAATACGGCATGTCGCGTAGTATTCTTACATTCCCAACTGATTTCAGTAGGCAACTATCTAGTAGGATATCTTCTACGTCTATAGAATTAGTGAATGTTATACGAAGTAGCCTCGGGTGATTTTACTGCTTAGAATCCTTTCCCTTAGTGAGCTGTGTGACCGCCAAAGGCTCTATTTTGGGAAGTTCAGGTTTCTTGATTAACTCTGCTCAGAGCTGTGCTGTGAGACCCAGGTTTGCTAAGGGAGTCTGGTACAATCAGTGTCATGATTGGGCTGAGCTCCAGCATGTCCTTACTAATGTCATGGCATGTCCCACAGATACTAGTGTTCTCGAGGTCCCAATTCTTGTCTATATTTCTCTTCATTGTTTGTTTACCCGCTTTTATACTGTTTTCTTCGGGTATGCTGACAACTTATCCTCAGATATGTCAAGAGAATGATGATATTGTCAAGCGAATCTTTAGCATTCATGCTGCATGTGCTACATACCCACCTACGATCTGGTCTACAAAGTCTTGTGTAAGTAGTTACTGTAAGATCTAAGCATGCTTCATGGAATCAACCTTTGCATATGTCACAATGCATGCCAGAGGTAACAGCAGAATGGCTTCCAAGTCGCCTGCATAAATTCTTCATGACTATAATAATGTAGATTGTCTTATAGATCCTAGCGAAATTCTAAGGCCGTAAAACCAAAAAACGGTACAATTAAAATAGATAAAATAGATAAAAACTGGTTGTACAAAAACTTTGGATGAGCCAAAACCGGCTTTGATATAAAAAGCTGAAAAACCGAATATCAAGCTGAGGCAAAACCACAGTCAACTATTAGCTTGGGTAAAACTCAGAAAGAAAGGTAATCCACCGAATGCAAAGCTCGGGGAAGATTCTTTGGAACATACATGGCACTTTGTGTCGTAAGAACACAGCAAGAATTTGAGAAATATAAATCAAGTTAGGACTTAATTTCCTGTTTGTAAAGTGCGCGTTGTTGTTAATACATGAACTTCCGTCATGGATTCGGCAGCAACCGAAATTTCCAAGGTACAGTCTATACACAGTCATGCCGACACAATATTGTGCTCGTCCCATATTTTTGGAGCACTTTTCAGGAGGGTAAATGTTACCTATGTAAATTATTTGCTGTTGTTCAGAGACGATAATGTCTGCAAATGCTTGGAACATCTCGTGCAAACTAGGCTATCCGACATGTGAGCTTCACTTTTCGTAATGCATTATATTCACACTTATTCAGAAGCGCGAGTATTTGAGAACCCATTTCACACGCGCCCATGACTACATATACCTAACATATACTAACATATACCTTAATAAAGGAAAATTAGACTGAATAATCATACCTTAAACATTCCTTCATGAATATTGGCTACTCTGCCTCTCGTGTTTTCTTTTACTTGCTCCCTCTTTCAGCCCCCTTGAGATATGGAACTGGTGACTTCATCCTGCACCATCCTTAAAGCCTTGGATATCCCAAAAGGAAATAAGGTTGCGATTTCTAAAAGCTCAAACCTTCAACGGACCTATCCTTGACCATCAGTCGCACATTCGCAACGCAACTTTCATGAAGCGCGCCAACTGTGGTACTGATTCAAACCATCGACATTCATATCTTATAAATTATCAACCCAGCTATGTAATTCATTACAGTGTATATTGTATCATTTGTATCAATTTGATCTTGCCTGTAAACTGGCATGCCTCATGTAACAATCTGTTATTTGAGAATAAATTATTATTATTATATCAGATCACAGAATTGCTGGAAAGTCAGTATGGTTTCGCTTTTACCAGCAGCATTTACCAAGTCAACCACACGAATAAGCGTGTGGAAAGTGCTGATCAGCACTTAAAAGCACGTCTCAGAAGAAGTGATTCTCTTCTACTGACGTTCTGGAAAATCTGAAGTAATTCAGACACTGACCTACGTTTACGACCATATGACTCTATAAGGGATGCTCAACGTTTCCCAGTGATTGAAGTACGAAATCTAGTTGAATGTGTCATTAATCTCACGTTACAAAGCCATTTCTAACTCTTTTATACGAGCTTACAGATTTCGCAGCTAAAATTTTAGCTGTGGATTGTTAACATGTTAGGCAAATTATAAACAACTTCAGTATGCACGATGAGATTGTGATAATTTCAAAGACTACATGCTGCTGTTTTGTTATATTTTCCGTGCACCTTCCAAAGATTGAATTCCTGGAGATGTGTGTTGCTTTTTCTTTATAAGAATTATAGATTTATTCCAACATAGAAGCCGTTGAACAAGCAACAACCTAATGGTAATGTTTTGTACGTGTTTTGAACATGTAATTCTGCCGCCGAGTCCATGCTATTAGTGAACCAATAGACAGAAAAAATATTCGTTTATGCCTCGAGGCATCGAGTAGAGTTACATAAACCCTAAAAATCAATAATTCTGTAAGTCCTCGACATTTGATTCTGACCGCATTAGTTTTAATAGACCCACCTAGATGAAGGTGCTCAGTTATGATCCGCACCTGATCACGAGTGAGTACTCCGTGTTCCAATTCTCCTATAACCTATAGCCAGCTCAAATTAGTCACTTCTTGATATATCGATATTCTACCAAATATATCTTCTAAGATCTTTGATGCTGACTTCTGATTTCTCTGAGTTGGGACGTTTCGAATATGGAATATGTTACTGGTTAAGGCGTTGTCAAATTCTAATTACTTGTGGCATGTTTATTGGTGAGCCAGCCGTGATCTGATACACCTATTCTTAAATTGTGGATCTTTTCCTTGTTGGGACTTTATACCTCACTTTTTTACTCTATATGGAGGTTGTACAAATCTTCTACCATAGTCTTGATGTCTCATAATTTTTTCTCCACACTCTTGTTTATTTGCAGGCATTTTCTCGCCCTTCAATCTTCTCCTTAAACCTCATACTTCCTACTGGTTCATTCCCGTGCCCATAACCCTCCTGATTACATTTCATCGCAATCTCAGTATTTCATCTTGTCATACTGAGCAATTCTTAACAATGATAATTTCCCTTTCTATCTTTGTGATGAATATTTAAGCGCTTAACAACCAAACAACTGTTGGTCTCCCTGTTTCAAAATCTGTTAATACCTTTGTTCGCTTCACCTCACTGTCACCATGTTTAACAGAAGTTCATTATCATCATAATTGAAATTATTATCATCCTGAAAAATAAATATTTATATATTTGAAGTTGTACAGCTTTGAAAATAAGTTTAACGAAAAATGAACTCTTCGTTGAACCAATCTTTCTTATTCATTTTATTAGTAGATGCATACCACTTACTAAAACAGCGTTTTCTACAGTCCAGGAAAATATCGCAAAATCAAGCACAACCACACAAAAAGACGTCAAAGCACCCATTAGTATCACAGTAGACGAATCTGACCAATCCGTCGGAGAATTATCCTGACAGAGGATTGAATAATTCCAAGCAATACATAACTTCAGCTCGAGTTATATTCGACAACCCTGAAACTGCGTGTTAAACAGATGAAAACAGTTAAAGAAATGTTAAAATGCAACAAGTCCACAAGAAACATACGTTTCCATCATTAAGAATGCTTTGGTTCTACCGAAATGCGGGTTCCAACTAAAAAAGCTCGTTATTCTCAATAGACAAGGTTGAAGCTAATATAGTGTGTAAACATTGTTTCCATACATCACATATTTGATACTTCAGAATTGGCGGTAATGAGAATATGCTCAAAGGTGTTGGTTTCGGATTTAGAGACCTGTCATCGAAGTAGGTGTAAACCTAAACAAGGTGTCTTATCGCTTTGCGATGAAAATGGAGATGTCATTATTTTCATCAATGAATCTTCTTCAAATACGTGCAGGAAATTCAAAGTATTTCCTAGTTGTACTGAATATTGAAAATGTTTCAGATATCAGCAAACATTGAAAGGCTATTCACCAATCACGTTAGAGTAGGAAACCTGACGATTCATCTGAAAACTCCCCCCAAATTTATAATGATTCATCAGGTATATTTGTTTTCCTGCAAACATGTTTGCTACTGATATCATAACTTATGTTCTTAATGTTTGGTTTCGCTTTGTTAGTATTTCACTTTGCATACAATTGCTTATTGTATGCGAGTTCACTGTCCATTTTTAAGAGCAAATATCGCGATGGTTGTGACGTTCGTTTAGACAGTGTCAAAACATCACTGTTGTCAATTAGCTGTACCGTATTTAGCTATTACATTATGATGGTACACTTGCGGCCGACGACGAATTCATTTTCCAATCTAAATTAGTTCACTTATGTTTCTTTCTGTCTTTAATCATAAAGGTAACGTTAGCCATTGCATTCAGTTCGACTTTCTTATTTTAGTTTTGGCAAATCCGACAAGAAACTTCTCACTTTGAGTCAGTAATAAGAAGGGAATTTTCAAAATCGGTTAGATAGAGGGTTTTTCTCCTATTATTGTCCTGACTGATGTCTATTTGGTACATTTATAATTAGCCAATACTTAAGAATTGTTTACATCAAACGGTTCCCAATTGAGCCATATTAATCATCTGATTATATTCAGCATTGTTGCGACTACTACACAGTGGAAGTATGCTTACATAATGTGCGAAAATGCACAGATGTGAATACACTTGTTTTCTGACACATTAACAAGTACCAAGGACCATATGTTAATTTATCTCCTTCAAGTTCGAAAGTATTTCTAGATATGTAGTTGCGTATGCCTGAACACCGATTACCACGACGCGCAATGCTAACTGGTGCTGGGGATGGTTGGGAGAAAGTTAGGGGCGGCCAAACCAAAACGTGATATCAGTGCTTGAAGTCACTAACCTCTGGTCTGAGCCATTTTGGTAGATGCAGGCTACTTGGTTTGGATCCGCGTGACTATCGTAGCCACTGGTTGGAGACTTGGTGACAAGGCTCAGAATTGATCACAAATGGCGTCGATGTATATACTCTCTGTCTTCCCTTAAGCTATGAGATTGAAATCGCTTCGTATCTTTCTTTCTACGAACTAATTCCTTCTTCATGTACTATATCCTTATTGCAATTTTTCTTTTATATATTATCACCACGGAATTAACTACTTCTATGAATCCAGTATTCACCTTGCTGTGCTACTGAGGTATGGCAACTTGAACCGATACACATTTGTGCCTGGTCCTACGTTGTAGCTGACTGACTGACTAATGTGTTGTAGTCCATTTTTTGAGTTTGTCTGGGTAATAAATCCACAGGTTTGTTGTTTCACTGCTTTTAATGTATTAGACACGAAGAAATCTAATCAAAGACGAACTAGTTTCCCACTACCGATTGTTAGAGCCTTGAGATTGTACCACGTACTGTTACATTTTAGTACTTATTTGTCTGACTCCTGTATTATCGAACGATATTAGCGCTTATAAAACATATCCTAATTGATTTCGTACTTGTCTTGTCGACCTAAAAGTTGGATACGAGAAGAATTTCAGACGCTTGTATTTCAGACATCCATTAATACGAGCAGACGAGAGATGCGAGTTGCAGAGGGTAAACTGCCCTACTCAATTTATTTAATATATAACATTTATAGGCATGAAAAATACGAGTACATAAATACTTTTTTACTATCATAAAGACATGTTCAATAACATGAATCTAAATAATACAATGAAAAGATAAAAGTAATTTATCTGTTAGGATAGATTACACAAGTGTTTAATTAGATAGAAGTTGCTATATCTTAGTTTTCTTGTTTGATTTGGGTAATTCATATGAAAATAGTTTTTATATATCTTCTATTAGTTCACCAGTTTGTTTGCAGAAGCCTGTATATAGACTTTTGCACTAACTCATTCGTAAACCCCGGTCTTACTGAGGCTTATTCCACTTTTTTTATCATAGGCTGAACCCTCGAATTTGATGAAGCTAGTAAACATTTTAAACCTTATAAAATCGGGTGACAAAATACCTGTTGGAACTCTTAGCAACAGGCCTGCTACAAATGAAGTATATCATTTTACAAATCAATAAGACATTTAGGTTAGGAAAGTAAGTCATCGCCGGCTGGTTATAACAAGACGAGAGGACTATCCTTTTTCTCAAGGCTTCAGTATATCTCTGCATGAAGTAGCTGCAGCAGGATTGAGATTGCGTCAGTTTGATACAAGACTTCTCAAACTATACAGTTTGCGCTTCCTTGACCTGAGTGCAAATTTACTGGAAACAATTCCTCAGGAAGTACAATATCTCAATGTAGTTCATTTGTGTTTATGTAAAAACCGCATCACCCGATGGCCGTCAATTTCCGAAAGTTCACCACTAACTAAAACTCTGGAACTTATCGACTTGAGCAGTAACAATTTAACTTGGTTGCCAGATGATTTTTGGGCCCTTACGAACCTTAGGAACGTCAACCTTTCAAGTGAGCTTCATTTGATTTATCATATTGGTAGTCATCTTATTTTATCTTAAATTATTTGTATGCGAGGTTAGACGCAGGGTATTAGGGAATGATGGTTAATCAGTCGATGAGGTTATGAATCTTCATCGACTGAGATGGTTGGGGCACGTGTTACGTATGCCCGAACACCGATTACCACGACGAACAATGCTAACCGGTGTTGGGGATGGTTGGAAGAAAGTTAGGGGCGGCCAAACCAAAACGTGGCATCAGTGCTTGAAGTCACTAACTTCTAGTCTGAGCCATGTTGGTAGATGCAGACTACTTGGTTGGGGTCCGCGTGACTATCGTAACCAATGGTTGGAGACTCTTGGTGACATGGCTGAGAATCGATCACAATGGCGTCGGTGTATACACTCTCTGTTTTCCCTTAAACCAAGAGACTAAAATCGCTTCATATCTTTCTTTCTTCCTCTACTATATCCTTATTGCAATCTTTGTTTTATATATTACCACCTCTGAATTAACTACTTTTATGAATCCGGTGTCCATCTTGTGTTGTTAATGAGGTATGGCAACCTGGACCGATGCATGTATGTGCCTGGTCCTACGTTGTAGCTAACTGACTGACTGATTTGTATGCGTGAGTCTTACCTAATGGTGCTTCAAAGTTGCAATATGTTCCAACTAGACATTATTTGGATATTTTATACTCTTATCATAATAATAGGTCCTTCAAGGTAGTCGTTTTCAGTTGCTTATTACAAATCCGTGTAATTTCTCATCGAGGTTGTTTTTTTAGGTTAAAATGTATATGTATCTATAGAATTCCACAACCACTACCCCGTTGAAAAATAATGCTTTCTATAATTATAAGATTATATACATGATTGTTCCATCAGGCACCAACCTCAATCCATTCGTCTTCAATTTGATATTTTTGAACTCGAAATACCAACCGTAAAAGTAAAGCTGACGTGAATATTATAAAACGATCGTAAAAGCAGTCTAGTCAACATGAGTTGATAGAAATTGTTCGCTAGTTTGTGCCTGAGCGTCTGATGTATCTATTGTGTTAGTTAAAACATGTTCTTATGCCTTCAATATGGCAGATGTATTCACACACAAAACTAATGTTAATAGTCCACTTAAACCTAGTAGAGATTGTCATTCCGTAGTAATTATTTCCCGAATATGGTTTACAAAACTTAAACAGAGAACATTTTACTACTTTTTATACACAGTCACATAGACCCGATCGTAAAATGCATTGTTTATTAAAATAATACATAAACTAACATCTCATAATAGTCATTTTTTGTGGACTGGATCGCTGACTGTGCAGAACTCAGAATATTCTGTTATTGATCAAACGATCTTTCAGGTTCATTTAACTTTCAAACATATATTTCAATCCTTAGATTGCTGGATGTCAATAAGGTTTATAGTAAGGGTAAACAAAGTAATTAGCATATGATAACGAGGATTCGGAACTTAATCTAACTGTTTGAACCGAGTAGAACTAAGATTTAAATGGCTGCACATCTAATAAATAGAAGACTAAGTATCAACGTAATTTTAGGAAACAACTATAATTGCACATAATTCCGATAACCTTCGTCTTCTCATTGTATGATCGAAATATAATTGAATGATATGGTTGCAAAGTTAAGGCTTATGATACAAACTATTTGGAAATGACTATTATTTAGCTCAAACACATTGTTAAAAGAAGACTGGGATGTTTGTTGTACCCTTCTATCGTTCCTTACAAAGTACAACTAAATACAACGACTAGTAAACCTTACAACCATCACTTATAGGTTCGAAAATGTTATTTAGTCATCAGCAGCGTAGAACTTCATACGTACGTAAATCAGTTCGAGTTGCCATACCACACCATTGAAATAATTAAGAAATTATTGTTCATAACAGTAGGCGAAGACGATTTTCTATCAAGGGTCTTTTTTATTCTGCCTTATGTTCTATGGCTCGAATAAAAACTTTCTAATATCCATGACTGTCCTATAATTGGGATATAGATCGAATTTAGAGGAACACTAGAGTAAATAAGATTTTTCATCAGACCTTGTCCCCACAAATATTATGATATAGTCTTTGCGAATGCACCTTGCGTTAACTTGAAAACCAAGGATTCAGTGCGTATCTACACCAAGAGACCTCTGTTTTAGGGGAATGTTCGATGAAAGCAGTTAGAAGTGGAAGTAGAGACATTAATAAAAACCAAACATTTCTCCAGTGCAGATCTTTCTATTTACTTCTTTGTCAGCAAATTTTAAAAATCGTAATACTATAGTGTGCTCTTCCTGTACTTTTACGACAGATAACAGACTGAGAGGTGTCCCAGTTGCTTTCTTGCACAAGTTAGACCGGCTCTCTGTGCTTATTTTGAATGATAATAAATTGGACTCTTTGCCATCTATATTGCCCTCTCGTCAACTAAACCAACTAGTAGTTTACAATAATCCGTTTTTACCTTCCGATTTGGTTGCTAAACCGAGTGATGTTGCCCTAACGCTACTCAGCTGTGCGTCAACAAGTTTCCTTCGTAGTAATTGGTATGTGTTTCTGTACTTATTTTTGTTATTCCAGTTTCGTAAGATAGAAAATTATCAGAATATGTTAAGGTACTTCATAATTATTTGCTAATAGCCATTACTACTAATCGTTTCCCTACAATCTGACACTTGCTAGATACTCAGTAACTGATGAGAAGTAGTTCATGTCTTTGGATATTAAAATCTACGTTTACAAATATAAACAACTACAAAGTTAGAAATTAGGTCAAAGGCGATGGTAGTTGGGAGAAGTGCAAAACATAACACATGATGTCAAAACGATTCAATATTGACAGAAAATATTAACCACTTGTGGAGAAATCCTAACAATCATCTTCATTCTTAGGTATGCGCTGATGATTTACTTCAGGACAATAAAAGCTTTGCAGTTAAATCATTCAACTCAGAAACACAACTTCACTAGTATGACCAGTTTGTGGGTTACTTATTTTGCACATAAGCCATCCGGTTTCTATCAAGATTGTTTTTGTATGCATTTAGTTGATAAGAAAATTACTGTATGCACACATTTTAAGAAAATCTCATCCCCACTTTATATATGGCAGTTTATCAATGATAAACATTGAAAATCGTAAACTACCACAGTGATGATAATCGTTCTTCGTGCACCACTTTCGATTATATATGTCCAGATTATCGTGCTTTTTTAGATCCCACTACCTTTATCAAGTAAAAGTACATCTATACTGAAACCCTCATATTTACAAATTAATTACTTAGAAAAACCGTATTAATTTTGAAGCTTTAAGACTGTGTTTACACCTAATTGCGTGTGCGGGACTCATAACATAGTGTACACTGCAAGTGACAGTTACCTAGTACGATTCAGTAACGCTTAGGTAGTGATTCCACGTTCTTAAAACTCCTTTTGGTTGTTCTACAGGTACCCCTGTCTTGAAAGTATCTTACCCTGGAGTTTGCGTATTCGCTTGGCAGTATTTAGAACCTGTTTATGTTGCCGTTTAAGATGTGGTGTGAATCCTTACCGCATTCTTGTGTCGTATAAAAGTTGGATGAACATTTCTTGTGATCGCCAGAGCCCCCCAAACATTTTGGCCTATTTATGCAGCGAAAGATGTCTAACAACTTTCAGTTCCAACACTTGGAAATACACTTTAGATTAGTTTTCGAATAATGGCTCTTTTTCATGTTGTAAAGTTCGAATTACTTTTGGTCGATGCAGTGTCAGAAACCTGTTTATTAATGATAACTAGTACTGATGAATCCATACACTTTCTTAATTTCAGTTTTTGATTTTACTGAGAATGGTTAGTCTTAAAGGTAGTGAATATCCCCCAAATGGATAAAGTTAGTAGGCGCACAGAACTGTAGTAAGAATTTAGCATCTAATTCACTGGGTTTAGAAAGAGTAACATCCGATTTTCATAAAGAATTCGGACTTCGTGCATTGGTAACAACTCGGAAATTCCTTGCACTTCGACCTAGGAAGTTGTATAACTATGAGTAAAGTGTACTCTTTAATAAAAGGAAAGATGTACGAAAAGTAAAGAATGGACAACTTGCATTTATTTGTCTGTCTCAGATAAGCAAAATACAAATGCTAGACAAAATAGTAGTCAAAACTTCTGAACATTTAGGTCAGTAAGGTCATTGAGTTCCCACACTGTCTTTGTTAAAATGCGACGTAGTTTTTCGAGTTCTTCTGTTACCGTTAGCAACCTTTTGATTACTTTTTCACGAGCTATAATTAGTTGCTTTAATTCAAGACTTGGTTCTCTGTTCATTATCGGGGTATCCACATAGGGGACAAGATCAGAAACGTCAGCAGGAAGTAAGCGGTCACAGCTTTCTTTTACTACATGAAAAGCCTAAAATAGAATGGGGAATGGATCACGTTGATCCATGTAAACAAGTTACATTTCACGAAATAAGCAATGCAAAGCTCAACGTATGGAGTGGTTTCGTACTTGTCTATACTGACTTTTGAATAAAGAACATAAGCGATCAAATCTCCACACTGATTTGTGCATTGCTAATCTAAAGGAACAAAGCTCATTTAAATTTCAATCGCTGAGATTATTTTAAATATGTTTTCTCCACATATGACTTCTCTATACCCGGCGCTCAATTTTTGTTGATTGTATGCAGTGGAAGTATGTTCAATACGAGGGTTGATGTTTACATTGCTTGTACAGTTAGGGTCTACGAACTGGTTAGTTTCTACAACTCGATGCATAGTGGCATAGAATATAGAATAAAAGTGAAACAAATTTTCGATGAGAAATGAAGTCCGTAATAGACAAAAAAGTGCCTCTACTGAAATTTAGTATCTACACTAAAAAGTTGGATCAAAACGACTCTAAAGCTCTCCAAGTATCCGACAACTTTGACAAGATGTTAAATTAGCTAGAAGTAAAGGTTGGTTATACCGTTATTTCAGACAATCTGAACGGAATTGTGATTTTAATGCATCATTTTGTCGGAGCTGCGCATATATTAGTATTTGAGGGGTTAGTGGTCCACATAACATTTGGCGGATAGCATGTACGACTATACACTGTAACTTGAAATGAGGCCGCTTATCTTAAATTCAAATACTTATAATTATTCCTTAAACAGCTGAAAAAGAGTATCCGAATACATTCTGGAGCAGGCATTTTTACCACAAGTAGGATGAGACAACAAGTCATGTGTATGACAGCTATACGAGGTTAAGCCAGTGGCATATCTTTGCAATTATTTGGCCTAAGACAACAACCGGTGGTGATCCACTTAATTCTTCTAAACTACTTGGTTAGTTAGTGCTTTAAAGAGCGATCTCTAAAGCTACAACACTAGCCATCATACACAACGGTCCACCTGACAAAAATTTCACCGTCACTAATAACAGTACACAAAACGTAAGTGGGACCCTTATGAGCTAACATCTAAAATTATTTAACAGTAATACCTGTTGAAGAAGTTCTTTGTTGCTTTTCATGTGCTGCAACGTTTCGACGCATTGTGGTCCAGCGATAGATGCTTGGTGAGTACTGACTCCTCGGGTTTTAGGATCCATGCACGCGTAGAACAGCAACATTAAGTCTCTCAACCCACTTAACATATCCTGCAACGCTTCTTGACCGCATTTCGACGCATGTATAGGATTTGATAAATCTTTAGTATGTAGTCGAGCTTCTGCTTCCTAAAACGTAGAATTTTACAATTTATTCACGTAAACACATGGGGAATCAAGAAAGTAAGATTTAGTACTAAACATTTATTCTTTAGAAAATGGACTGCCTTTAGTATTAAGTATATCTACGTAGTAGCCGGACCTTCTCGCTAAATGCAATCGATTTTTCACCTTATCAGCCGGATCCCATGATTCCGAACGGATCTTCCAAAATTCAAGCAACTGTTGTAATTTGCTTTCCTCTTTTTTTTCACGCATCATCTGTTCCTTTCGTATCAACACAGCATGACGTTTATGTAGCCTTTTCTTCTGATGTCTCTTCATTTTTCGCCTCCGAATTTTGATATCATTTTTCAGTTTGATGGGAATAGCATTTGGTAGAGACGGCAATGTAATGGATTGGCTCAATACGATGGTGCTCACAATAGGTGTTTTAAATTCACTTAAACCGTGATTGACTAGTCTGACAGAGTCAGGAAGGATAAACTTAGTATCAGCAGACTTGGGTTGAAAATTCATTATGTTATGTGAGCTTATCAATTGTTGTTTATTTGTAATCGATTGAATTGGATGTACATAGGTATGCATTAATCTGGGGAGAGCTTTTAAAAGTCTGAAGCGCTAAAATGGGTCTTTTATAAGGACGACGTAGGTCGTACCTGTAGCATTCCAAGCATTTACAAACCAAAGGTGCGGGCAGTGAACGTCAGCTTGTGGTTGGGATCTCCTGCGCCGCTCCAACTACCTTGAGCAGTTAAATTCACCGCGGGTAGTGTTTTAATACTTCAGGCTGGTTGAGCGTCTTCAGAATGGTTGAATATTTAGATGTTCTGTTGGCATCAGTAAATCACTAGGATATTGCAGCGTTAGACAAATCTTATTTGGATTAAATATATAAGTTGTCAGTGTGACTTGTTTTCTCAGAATGTATATAGATATGGAACAACTGTTTCATGCAAGTAGTTGTTAATGAAATAAAAAATGTTTATACCTAATTACATCTTCAATATAGAGGTCAATAAATCCCCATAATACTTCACACCACATCACGAGTGTGTATACCATGCAACGTATCCATTGTAACTACTAATCAGCTTATATCAAATGCTACTGGACAAATCGAACTTTGAAAATATTTTTTCGAAGTCATTCTTACCTGACTTCTGATTTGACTAGGTTGGTATCCTTCGATTATAAGGGTGGTACGGACGAAAGCGTTGTCAAACTCAGGATATCTGTATTATCTTTAGCACAGGGTTGACCTGATCTAGTACATCAAATGATCAACTTTAAGTCTTCATCATATTTCGCCTTCTAGTTTTACATGCTTACTGCCTATAGCGCATCATTCAGATATCATCTACAGGATGACGTCTGCACTTTAGCACAGAAAGATTGTTGACCTCAAATGGGACAACGCTTTTCTAAGATTGCAGTCTGCGGCATATGCTCCCACACGATGTATGTTGGGCGAATGTAAGTAATATCTTTGTTGTAAAATTACCCTCCAAGAACTTATGTTCTCTACAAATATCTGTAGTGGCACTGGTTCTAACCACATAATCCTTAAATATAAACATGAGGAAACTGGGGAATCAGATATTCAACATTTAAAACAGAAACAAGGCCAGCAATTGAAGACGCGGATTCTTTCAATTCAGTGGATCGGATGGCATGGTTCACTCTTGCAGACGTGGTTATTTTTTGTATCACTTATCTCATTTGTTCATATCAAATATATTTTTCTATCTGTAGCCTAAATGGGTTCTTCGGAAAGTTCAAACATACTGCTGGTTCTTAAGATACGACGAGTCACGATAGACAATAATGAGATTACCACATAAGATCTCGACGCGAAATTTGAAATTGATAATTGTTTTTCGCGTGCTTTAGGAATTGTTCGACTTCTTCATTTTCAAAGTGTATTGTAAGGAAACTATCATCCTATCTTGTATTTCGGGTACATCTTGCCCTGAAAAAAAGTTTTCAACGGACAATTAACAATCATTTTTATTCCTATCGCGTACTTAAGTCCTAAATACATCTGAAATTTATCATATACCAATAGTATCTGACCCTTGTATAACCCGAGAATAACACATATTAACAACTATATACACAAATATTATGTTTAGTTTAACGAGCTTTCTCTAACCCAGTTTCAAATCATGGCCAATAACTCCAGTAAAAGGTAAATTTCATAAACTTTTAAGTCAAGTAAAATGTCCGAATCTGTAACCTTTATGGCTGACGACTCAGCAATCTCGAACCATTATCTACTGAACAATCTGAGTCTTATCCACAAGTATCACAACCATTACCCAACTCTCCGTGTTACAACCCTTCTATCTCTCTGTGCAATATGCCAATGGTAAGACTGGTTGACATACAAGGCATAATACCCACGTGCATCGAAAATTCAGCACAGTCTACCAGACACCATGTTTTACCAAGGCCTAAATCTTAAATTTCAAAAACTAAAGAGTCTGCTATCCCGTCTCTTATACACAAAAAATCAGATGGATATAGTACTGACATCCTTTGCCTTATTTTTCCTACTTTGCAGTTGTATTAATTACTTTTTCCACCCTATTTCTTCACTTGAAGTAGACAGGTAACTCAATGGACTTATCATTACTGTTAAACTAAACTCGGTCGATAAGGGACACTCACTACCACCATCAGAAAGCCAAGAGGACTGCACAATCGACTGCCTACTACCAGTGGTCTTGCATCTATGGAGCCTAGTACCAATCAACTGGTTAGGACAACACAAAATAACATCATCACCAAGTTACTGTGAATTTCTACCTGTTTATCCTGTATTAACTTTTTACTCTTCTGCACACTATGTTGACTGGCAATTAATATTATTTCTCCACTCTTTACCTTATCTACAACTCATATACTTCTATACTTTTCCGCCTGCTTTATTAAACAACCATCCTACGTTATACCCTTCTTAATGCTTATACTCTGATTGGCAAACTATACTTTATACCATAGTCAACAAAAGTACTGCATCGATGCTTTACCCACAGTTCATAGCCTGATAAACTTGTAAAATGGAACTTA